TCATCACTGTGTCTGTCACACGACTCTGTTCCCTTTTCGGGCTCTGTCTTTACATTTATTTTGAATGAAGCTCGTGATTATGGTAAGGGGCGTTACATTTCCGATGAGTGCTTGCGGTGTTCGGCCAATCACAGTGCACTGGGTCAGCTGGCCAATCAGAGCATACTGCGCTTGTCGGAAGGAGGGACTTTGTATAAAACTAAGCGTTTGAGAGAGGCGGGGCATAGAGGACCTACAATAATGTACAGTATTTGAAAAATAATGTGTTTTTTTAACATTAAAGCATGTCAACATATTCTGTTACACCAAATACACAAAATAATGATCTTTAAAAAAAGCATCATATGACCTCTAAGTAATTGACTGTTTTTGGCCAATCTTATATTTTTCCATCTATACCTTTGTAAATCATTTTCTCTCTCAAATATCATCTTATAATCTCATTGTAACTCATTCTTACCTCTGGGATAAGTTGCAGTACAGCATTTGAAAACAGTGTCCCAATGGCCAGTCCAATGAAATACGTCAAGACTTTCGGAAAATATGTTTTTTTAGTGAGAGGCACCAGAAATAACCCCAACAGAGCAGCCAAGTTTATCACGGTCACGGCCAGGAAACCATAACCCCAAACTACAGGAAGGAGGAAACGGATTTACACATATATTGAGGCATATTAAAATTATTTCCATCAATTCAATTTAAGAAGTGAAAAAAAACTTAATGCAGTTCAACTTCACTGCATCCCAACACAGAAACCTAATGCAGGAAGTGTATTAAGTTTCGGTACTGGATGCAGTGAAGTAAAATACTCTTTTACAGCCTGTTAGTGAGGACATCATTACCATATGAAATGGGATCAGACAAAGGCTGTTTTTTCTGAATGTGAAATGAGAAACTGATACCGCACAGTTCAAAACCTTCAACAAAATCAGTGAATCAACAATGTGATGATGGGTCATGGAAAATCCACTTATCAGTTCAAGTGTTTGCTCTCTAAAAGAATCTGTGTGTAATGTGTGGTGTGATGATAATATCAACTTTTAACCATTGTGATTCATAAGCAAAAAGGTCAAAACCATGATTACACAAAAGTGTAAAATACTTTGCTGAGTTTCACACCCAAAATAAACACTAGGGAATCAATCTGTAACTCCTTGATAAAATGGTAAAATAAGTTGATTTGTCTCCAGAGGTTTTATTGTAATCTCTGTCTATTTCCTCATTAATCAAAATATATTTTCCTGACTTCATACAGCACATCTGATTGTCGTTTCCACCAAGATGAAGGGGTTTGTGGTATTCAGACTCACCTTTGTGATCAGGTAATAATGAAGAATCATTGAGGTTTGAGGGGGAGGTGTAAGAGCAGGCAGGGAGCAGGATCCGATTGAGAATAGCTGGACACATCATCTCCAGATCATTGAGACTGACCGTAGAAGCATTACCCAATCCAAAGGCAGACAGCAGCTCTGACAATGAAGAACACTACCAAAAAAAAAGTAAAAATTAAACATCTGTGTCATCAAGAATTAGAATGTGGTACTGATTCTTGAGACATGGCACAAAACATGTCTAATTATAGGCTAAACATCTCCTATTGCTAAACAAAATAATTACTGAATATAATGTTTGATATTGTTTGGTGACAATTCCATAGATTAAAAAAAAATTATTCAGAGGTTTTCAAACTTTACAGGGACTCTCTGCTTTCATAAAAAAATAAAAACATTATTGAAAGAAACAGTATTAACAGTTAATTATGTAGCAAAGTTAAACATTACCTATATATTTTCTTTACTGTTACCAATATATTTTCCAAACCAATAACATTACAGAACAACGTAATACACACCAAAAAACAAACAAAAAAACTTGTACATAAAACAATAAGTAAAACAACTAATCAAACTATGCTGATTGCTGATAGTTAGGTAGCCTACCGATCAAAATGCAAATGATTCAAAAAGAAAAAAGGAAAGAAAAGGGTGATAAAAATAAACACTGAAATACTATATTAAAATGACTATACTAAACTATATTAAAATACTATATTAAATTAAATTAAATATTACTTATGAATCAAGATGTAACTGAAAACAGGCTTCCACATTTTGTCAAATTAAGCAATGTTGCTAGAAATATTAATTCTTTCCAAATAGGAAGAGGTGAGTCCCGTTAGCTAAGGAGAAAAGACAAGCCTTGTACTCTTCTTCCACAACGTCAAAATAATTCCATATCCTCCTGGGACCCAGGCATAGACTTTTGTCCTCTATAGAGGACATTATATTTTAGTGAATTCCTCTGATGCCACATATATGATTTCCCTATATGCCACTGTTTTCAGTCTGAATGTCCTGTACAGAACACATTCAGGGCTTTTTAGAGATATCAAATGTTTGGAGGTTTGATCATAAACACTCTCTCTCTCCTTGGTCTTTAAAAATGACTAATAATGACAGAATGATCAAATTGAGGAAATATGATAATATTTTGTAATTATCATTTAAATCGGACTAATTTTCAAATTGTTTGTCGTAAAATTTAAAAAAAAAAAACAGAAAAATGTTATGGGGTTTCAAATCGGAATTTGACTGTTATGAAACGAGGCATAATTTTCATACATGTCTTCTGTAGGGGACAGCAGGACAAAGAGCATGTTAATCAGGCATTTTGGGGAAACACAACAAGTCAACAGGGAAAGAAATTATAGATCAATGTTTCTATGAAATATGAGATATTCTTATGAAAATATTGCCAAGTTATTACTCCCATTATAACACTTGTTTTTCATTATGGCTTGCCCCAATTAATATGCAAATTAGATTCAGTGTATAGATACATTGAATAAAATGTGAATATCAATTTATGGACATTTTACGCACATATTGCATGAAGTAAAATTGTATATCAAACCATTCTGTTATATCTTTCATAGCATAGTTGAGAATCATCTTTGTACAAAGTTTGGTCAAAAACAGCCTGAAACCTAAAAACTGATTGGTGAATGAAAAAATAAAACATCGTTTTTGCCTATAGGCTACATGCCTTTTCATGTCTATTTATTTTTTTGAAAAACTTAATCCTGGCGTCTTCCACAAGGACATAGAATAAAATATGAATTAAATAGCATTTTTCAAAAAGGGTTTTTTTTCTCCGTTTGTTTCTTGTGTGAAATAAACATTCAGAATATTTCCGTGAGCTTTCACTTGTTTTTTCTATTAAAGTGCTGTTTGCCGAAAGAAACTGGCATTACCTCCGTGTTCTTCAGCGGATTGGCTTCATCGTCGACAGATGCCGCGCGGCGGCTGGTAATGAGGCGCAGAAAATTTTCTAGGTTTCCCGTGGACAGCGATTTGCTTTCACCGTAGAAGCGCAAAACATTTTGCATGAAACTTTCCTCCATATTTCTATCCTTTCGATATGAATAACTTTACCGAACAGCTATCCGAGAACAGTGTAAAGCAGTAGACGGTCAAGACGGATGGAAACCACGTGCGCACATTCTAACTAATAACAGAAGCCTCAGGTTAATAAATGAGAAACCCTTTTCTTTCATTTCCTTTACAGAAATGATTTGCAATCTCCCGGACGTGGGAGGAACAACTATTTGACGGCTTTACTAATCAATCTGTAGGCTTAATAGTGGAGTCCACCTCTGACGCTCACTCTTCCATTCCTGAGCAAAGATCGCGCGAAGAAACTTCTGCTGCACTGAGGGTCAAAGAACAGCAACATGCTGCTGCCCAACCACTGCTACTACCAGCCGGATCACTGCCGTCACTCCGTGTCAATAAATGAAGCCTTTGTTTGCGCTTTTCCAGACATTCTTGCAACGTGTTCAGGTCTGAGTTGAGTAACATTCAAGTGATCTTGTAGAAGGACGTTACAGCCATTGAAAAGAACACAATGCCAATATTTGCACATTTCTCAGTGAAGCCTATTTTTTATCACTGACCAACATGACTTGGTGTTTTTTTTCGAAAACAGCCACATTAAGTAAAAATATAAAAATTAAATATTTTATATTATTGTAAAGTATTTCTTTAAATTGATTCAAGTGTTCAACAACAATGGACCATGCAGTTTGTTTTTATATGGTTTTAATATATATACATATAAGTAATAATTAACAGGGTCGTCCTGAGAATGCAGTGCCCTGCAATCTTTTATTACATTTGTATAGTTGATTTTAAAGCTGTCAGTCAGACAACTTGACAAGCACATCATAAAATCAAGTAGACATCCCTGAGAGACGTGATATGAAGATTTGCAGTGATTTCTTCAGCAGTGGTGAGTCTCCATGCTTCAAAAATAACTGTGGATTTTTTAGACCGCATCAGGAAGCCATTGACATCAAAGTGACCGGGAATATCGTCAACATCCAGCCAAACATACACAGCAGGAAAGGAGCAGTGCAGAGTCACGAAAAAGCTCTGCACAATTCTAGTGTCCTTTACAGTAAACTGCAATATACAAATAAAATCAACCTGTCAGTCAGTCAATTTCTTAAGGACAAGCATTTGCATTCAGTCACATCTCTGCTTAGGTGGATGTGTTTGTAAATGGTGTGTAAGAATGTATGGTTTTTACCGTGATGTTGGGTTTCTGCAAACCCTCTGCATATCGTGGAGAGCTGAGTAAGATGTGATTGTGAGGGCTGATCATTTGACCTTCTGGACTACTGAGAAGAAAAGCAACTATGCATGAGCGCCGTGTGCAGTTCCCACATTGCGTCAGCAGAGCTGATATAGAAAGCTGAAACACAAGGGTGCTTCCTCCTGCTTTTATTGTAGTCGCATTGGACTCTAAAGAACACACAGCGTTAAAGCTGCTCCAGCTGTATAATTTCACCTGTGAACATGAGTATAACATGACAAATACTGGTCAAAATTCATAAATAAACTAATAGAAGTAAACACAAAATGAAAACATGTTTACTCACCAGTGGATCCTCTGCGGTGAATGGGTGCCGTCAGATTATTACAAACAAGCAGCTTTTCACTTCACAAGATCGATTCAACTGATTGACTGGAGTCGTGTGGATCATTGTGATGTTTTTATCAGCTGTTTGAACTCTCAATCTGATGGCACCCATTCACTGCAGAGGATCCCATGAGCGCCGTGTGCAGTTCCCACATTGCGTCAGCAGAGCTGATATAGAAAGCTGAAACACAAGGGTGCTTCCTCCTGCTTTTATTGTAGTCGCGTTGGATTCTAAAGAACACACAGCGTTAAAGCTGCTCCAGCTGTATAATTTCACCTGTGAACATGAGTATAACATGACAAATACTGGTCAAAATTCATAAATAAACTAATAGAAGTAAACACAAAATGAAAACATGTTTACTCACCAGTGGATCCTCTGCGGTGAATGGGTGCCGTCAGATTATTACAAACAAGCAGCTTTTCACTTCACAAGATCGATTCAACTGATTGACTGGAGTCGTGTGGATCATTGTGATGTTTTTATCAGCTGTTTGAACTCTCAATCTGATGGCACCCATTCACTGCAGAGGATCCATTGGTGAGCAAGTGATATAATACTAAATTTCTCCAAATCTGTTCAAATGAAGAAACAAAACTCTACATTTTGGATTTTTTGGGTAAACTATTCTTTTAATTCATTCTCTTATAACTTTGAATTGCATTGATACTCTAAATTAAAATGTCATACAATTTTAATCTAACATTCTCTGCAATAGATGATCATTATATAATAACCAAAAACAATAGTCAATTATGTTATGAAGCACTACCATCTTACCTTAGCTTTGACATTGTGCTTCTCAGAGTGGCTGTCAGAGACGGCATAGATCAGCAGATCTCCCTTGTCCTCAACCCCCGCTGAGAGTATAGGTGCATAAAAATCTGTAGCCCAGTAGTGTAGCATTTTCCATTTACCACCAAACTGAATGTACAAGAGATTTCCCAGTCAACAAGCATACTTTGACTTTGCATGCTCACGTGCACATGAATGACAAATTACTTTTAGTAAGCAAGAATGCTTTCTTCTATATAGAGATGAAGAGTGGTAGGCGTGTACATGATTCATTTACCTACAGAGGACCAGGAAGGCCCCTGCCAAATGTCATTCAGCTGCCAGTAAAGGGTGCCCATCGTATGACAATTGCCCTCAACAATGTCACTACGGCTGCGGCGGTAGAATTCTGTTTGGGCCTTCACACACTGTGCCTGCATCACCTGTTCAAACCAAAGTGTGTCACATCGGGCACATTACTAATGTCCTGGAAAACATTTGATACTCTACCATTCAAAATTTTGGGGTTGGTAAAAAAAATTTCTCTTATGCTAACCAATGCTGCATTTATCTTCTTTATGCACCAAGAGCTTGTAACACTCCAAAGAGAAAGGAAAACTTGAAATCGCATCATATGACCCCTTTAAATATACAGTACAAACAGTAATATTGTGAAATATTATTACTATTTAAAGTAACTGTTTTCTATTTTAATATATTTTAAAATATTTCTTCCTGTGATATTACAGCTTAAAGGTAATATGTGTGTGTTCACCTGAGTGATGTAAATAGTGTCTCTGTATCTCTGCACCGGGTCTGTGCTGTTAGGGAGAATGTAATGTAGTTCTGCTTGCTTTAGCATCTGCTGATTTCCATCTTCATGATGCTGCCGATGAGCTGAAAAATTGCTGCTGAAATCCCAGTCTGAAGACACTGAAACCTGGTTGGAGGGGAGAAGTTGAAAAACAAGAGGGTTAAGTGATGTTTTTGAAGCATGATGTGCACTTGTAATGTACTTCAAATCTATATTATATTTATATAAAAAATGTGCTTGCAGATAATAAAATAATAATGAAATAAAAGTAAAGAGAGTACACTTTCATTACACTAACTCAGCTTTGGGATCATAACATAAACTAGTTCTAGGTAGTACATACTGCAGCTGTTAAATCTCAAAAAGCAGATGGATTTTGTAGTGTAGTACCTTACTAATTGTGGACAATGAAGGCCAGGACTGGAAGCCATACTCAGAAGCAAAGCGTGTGCGAGGGAAAGCAGTCCAGTCCCAGCAATCCTTGTAATAGCTGTAGTAATGGGTGTCTCCAAAGTGGGGGTCATAGGGGTCCTTAGCCACCCAGCCTTCCTTCTCAGACTCAACCCCATTGGTTGGGCTGGACACTAGAAAAGGACGGGTGCTGTCCTCCTGAATTAAAGCACAGCATCCTTTGGTAAAGGCTTAAGATAGTACTTTAATGTTAGTGTGTATGTATCTCAGTCTCACCTGCAGCACGATGTCTCTGATGTTCTCAACATACAGGTTGACATAGTCTTTCACATACAGTGGTCGCTCAGCAACAGGTATGTTGAACCAGTCAGTTGCTATGGCAGCTTCGTTCTCATTGTTCCCACTCCAGATGACCACAGAGGGGTGAGATTTCAACCGTCGAACCTGAACCACAACAAATGTCCATATAATTGTAAACAATAACCGGTGGGTCAATGATGCTCACTTTCTTTCGTCTGGATCTGTAATTTATTCAGAAGATTCATCAGAAAATGCAATTTACACAATGGCTTAAATACACCTCTTCTATGATAAGAATGTTTTTAAATTTTGAATTAAAATTCATTTTGAAATGTTTTCGGTGGCATAAAGTCAAACATGTCTTGTGTTCATAATGAAGAAATCTTTTATATTATTTCTTAGGAAAAAAGCATTCTATTAAAACTGCTTCTCTTAATTATATTTGAAAAACATTTGACCCTTGCAGCAGTGTTATTAGTATCATTTATATTATCATAGTATTTATTAATATTTTTGATTAGCTTTTATTTTTATATTTTCAGTTTTAACTTTAGATTAAGTTTTAGTAATTTTGTTATGGAGTTTTATGGAGCATTTTTTTTTTTTCCTTTATATTTAGCTTTCATTTATTTAATTTCAATTTTAGTAATTTTTTCATCAAATATTTATATTTCATATTTCATATTATATTTTATATATAATACATGTTTCAGTTGTATTTAACAACTATTTTTAATAGTGATCATTCATGATATTTGTACTAAATACTTTATTTTTCGATATGGAAAAAATGTTGTATTAAAATATTCACTCACAACATGAAATTTTAGAATAATTTCATTTAAACTTTTCTTGAAAATGTTTTTCTAAACACTCTAATATGTCATTGACCTTTTATTTGTCATTTATTTGAGGTGAACATAATATATAAGAGTACTATGTATGCAAACCTGCTGTGTGATCTCCTCCCTCACTGTCTGAAAATCCTTTTCTGTAGGGTACAACGCACAGGCAAACATGAAGTCCTGCCAGATCTGACATAAGAGCAAACAAATAACCAAATCAATCATTTAAAGCATGTCACAGGTGGAGGATGTCATTTAATAAGCTCACCATGATTCCATACATATCACACAGGCTGTAGAAGATGTCTTGCTCATACACTCCGCCACCCCACACTCTTAAAGCATTCATATTCGCCTTCTGTGCAGACCGGAGTAGGATCGTGATCCTGCAATGCCAGTGCTGAAACATGACAAGATGACTAAAGTTTCAAAGTGATTTCACATTTAACAGAATTCAGTTTGGCCATTGAACTAGGTTGCTTTAAGCTGTAAATCTACTCACATGTCAGTGGTAACCTGGTCCTGAAAGGCATGAACAGGAATCCAGTTTGAACCCTTCAGGAAAATTGGTTTCCCATTGATCCGGAAGTAGAAGCTGAGGCCAGGGGATGAGGGTATAGGCTCCTGGACCAACTCCACTGTGCGGAAAGCAACCTGAAACAGAAAACCACAACACAAGAGTGAAATAATGCCGACTGAGAAAAAAATAAAATAAACAGAGAGAAAGATTACCATTCGCTCTGCATTAAATGCCTCTCCATCCTCC